AAAAAAAAAAAAAAAAAAAAACCAACCATGAAAAGTGCTCATAGGAGTGTGTGATGCTATAACACTAGTAACACAGGGTCCCGATTCAGGGTGTAGAGTTTGAGAAGACATCCCTAAGGAATAACTGCAAGGAACAAAGGACACAGAGAGTAGAAAGGAAAGTAGGGTTTGTGTGGAGGGTTGGGCATTGGATGGCAGGTGGCAGGCTGCTTAAATAATAGGCACTCAGAAGTTCTTCCCATTTCTGAACTCCAAGGTCCCAAAGATGCTCAGTACAGGTTGTGTGTGGACTAGGAAGGCTATTGGCAGGCTGGACTAAGCACAGGGCCTGCCTGGAGGGCTGGCTCTTGTCAAAGGTACAAGGTTCCCAGGTGGCTGGCCTCTCCACAAATGTTACAGCTTTGGGGTTTCCTTGGGGAAGGACAGCTTTTCATAGAGAAACTTGTGCTCACAAGCAAGACAACTTTCCATATGTTGAACCAATTATAATCAGGTATCTGAGTACTCATATATCTTATATTAAATAATTAGAGTGATGGGCTGGGGATTTAGCTCAGTTGTGGAATGCTAGCAATCCTGATACTCCCGGGTTTGGTTCCCTGTACCCACTCCCCAAAAAATAAAGTAGAGAAAATAAGAATTATTTGTCAATCAGGAATCAATATGAAGCAAACCAAAAGTGATGGTAAAACGGACACTTTAAAGTCTCTGTAGATTTTCATTTTTCTTGTTATGGGTGGTGGTACATACCTGTAATCTCAGCACTCAGGAGGATTGCCATGAGTTCAAGGCCATCCTGGGCTACATAGTGAGTTCCAGGCCAGCCTGGAATACACAGCAAGACCCTGTCTCAGAACAAACAAAAAAAATTTTTTCATTTTTCTTGATAGATGGCTAAAACATCAGGCTGATTTCTAACATGGGTAAACTTTGGAAAGAATGGGCAATGACAGAGAAAGGCGGGAGCTTCAAAGTCTTTTAAACTCTTCACTAATATAATAGCAACTAGCAGTGTGTGGCTACTTAATTAAAATAGAATAAAATTTAAAGTTCAGGTCCTCAGTTGGACTAGGCCATGTTTTGAGTGCTCAACAGCTGCATATGGCCAGTAGCTAACTGTTGGATGGCACAGATGGAGATCATTTTGGTTATCACAGAGTTCCTTTGATCTATGCTGGTGTGTGAAGCATTAGAGCTCTGTCCCAGGAATAATGGTTGTGGGGTAGGTGGTGAGACATTGCCTGAAATGGCCTTTCCCTCTTTCATGTGTGATTAGATGGGAGAAGGAGCTGGAAACTCTTGTCAAGGTTCTTGAAAGCATTGGGAGCTCACTGGGTCTTCTTTTTGCCAACAGTGCTGGAGAGCTGGCTGGACTACACTGGGGAGCTGGAGCCCCCAGAGCCACTGGCCAGGCTTCCACAGCTGAAGCATTGCATCAAGCAGTTGCTGATGGACCTGGGCAAGGTGCAGCAGATTGCGCTCTGCTGCTCCACATGAAACTGGGCACTCAAGACTAATGGGGGCACAATCCTAGGGTACCTGCAGGAAGAGCGTCACATATTTAAATAAACCTAGCATGCTGAATGCACGTGATACCGACTGACTTCAGGGATCTGGCCAAGAGTGTGATGAACAGTGGACAAAGAGGCCATTTTGGCTGCTGGAAGGCAGGACACTCTCATCTGGAAGCCTACCAAGAAGGTAGCAAATAGACTCTTGGGATTCGCTTCTTCTGTGCATATCACTGAATGAAGAGAGTCTTTTTGCACAAACTTCACTTGAAATTGTGCCACTGATGATGACAAATGGAATGAGAGCCAAAAAAGTTGAGTTGGAAACAGTTGTAAATTCAGTCTTCAGTTTATTTAATTGACTTTGCTGTCAGGTTGGGGGTACATGCCAACCTTTCTTGTTTTGCCTGGCGTGGAGATTAGGCAGCAGGCACCATTTTCATTTTCCAGCTTCATGGGAATGTTGGGACTTTTCCATGCTGTGGATGTTGGGAAGGAGCAGAGGCCTCAACTGTCCTGCCTTCTCTTAGGACTCTTCACTTTTTTCACCACATCTCTTGCATGACTTCATGGTACCAGGGACGAGTTTTGTATGCTTTTCACCCCAGAGTTGACTGGGTTGTGGCTTTTGTCATAGAGACTGCACAGCCAGTGGAGGAACTAGAACCTTATGGTAATAAGCATCTAGGAGAAATTCCAAATGGAAGTAGGCAGGGTCTGGAACCCAAAGGACAGCATTTTTTACCCACTTCTTAATGTTGACAGCTTCCCAGTTCTATTTAAAGTCTGAAAAAAGTGTTTCCCAAAATTTTGAACTCTTTCACTATAAAGATTTATTGCAAAGAATGTGGTTTGGGGAGTTACCTTGTTTTATATTGTCAAACTTCAGATTCTTTGTGTGCCGCTTTTCTTTTCCTGAAGGGTATGTCCACTAGTTGTCATTTTCAGAATTGTTAACATAACACTTTGAAGTTCCTATTTGTATGACTTTGTGAGATCAAGGTGATTATGCTGCTTAAGATTCAGGTACAACCTATTTGTACCTTTTGAGACATTTGTGTTATTTTTGCAGGTTACGGTTCCATGTATAATTGCTACATTTTGTTTTTCCTTACTATACAAATTTAAAGAAAATGTCCCATGCTTTGAAGAGTGACCATTTCATGTTTTCATATCACTAAAGGCAAAAGTCAAAGTATAGTTGCCTATTAACACAAGTGAATTATGGGTTTATGAATCTATAATGTTATATGCTGCAAATATTTACTGTGTAAACGTCAAGTAGCCAATATTTCAATAGCAATGACAGTATCTCCAGAGATCTTTAAAATGGTTAGGCTTTAAGGTACAGGTCAGTGTGGTCACAAATTCAGGGCTTCATACTAATATGTTTTAGGGAATGCAGTTGAGAGATTTGCCATTTGATATAAAAAAAATTACAGGACAAGCTGACCTGTGTAGCTTATCCATCAGAGGGAATACATGCAGCTGTAACATTTAATAATAAAATTAACCCAGTTCTTCTATAAGACGCTGTTTGCCATTGCTAACACTGGTGTTTCTGGTATAGGAAGAAATACTCAAGGAGTATGTATGGCATCTATTTGTGCTCTAGATAATTTATCAGACAGCTGCATCATAAGAATTTTGTGATGCTTTTCTGAAAAGGGAAGAAACAGGATGATTCTCTATAGCCACAACTGTGAGGTATGATGACTGTTGTATAATTGTTTTCCTTCCTGAAATTACATTTGAGTGTCACTTCTGGGGGAAGCTCTAATTTTTAAGGTAGTCAATTTCATATCTTGTTCAAAGAGGAAAGCAGAAACTTCTAATTTTGCCAAGTGGTTTTTACTGGGTTTATCATTTAGGTTTTGTAAAGGAAATAGTCCTTTTTGACCCATTATGACTTTTGTTCTTAGGGAAGCAGGAAGACTCCCCAAGTTCTGATAACCTCAGTGTGTTTCCCTAATTTAAAGCCATGTTGAGGGCTCCATCCCCACTTTCTGGGTCAAGGTGAATTAACCCCCAAGTTGGAGCACTGGAAACTGTTATTTGCGAACATTGCTGATACAATTTAGAAATATGTGCACTACCTAAGTTTTTTTGTCTGAGAAAAACTATCCACCTATAAAAATTGCCTTGACAAAAAATTTTGGTTTGACTAATCATTTTGCTTCTTTAAGGTAAGTGATGAGTATGCAAGGTGGATCCTTGATGAGCCAACATTGCACTGTGGATACACATCTGTGTTTATGCGATATTAGAACAGAAGGTGCTGTATATAGAAATGTTGCTTTGAAGCAATATTTGCAAAACACGCAAACTTCTGTATCTGTATTTGGAAAATAAAACAGGTTCTTTATGTTTCAGTCATGTATTACTGTATTATAAAGTTCTTCATCCTGTTTTTGAAACGTTTTTTTTTTTGCCAGCCTTACTATGTAGCCCGGGCTAGCCTCAAACGAGTGACCTTCCTGCCTCAGCTTCCCAAGGGATAAGACTGAAGGAATGACCAAACCCAATTATTTCCCTATCTTTAATATGTACTAAATCTTCTGTAATCATTACTTTAAAAAAAATGGAACCCAGAATCTTTGCACTGAATTGCATTTCCAGACCTTTTAAAATTTTTAATTGAGATGGGCTAAGTTGTTCAGACTGAGCTTGAACTTCCCATCTTCCTGCCTCAGCCACTGACTACTGGGATTACAAGCATGCACCACCACACCTTGCTACCATTACCTTGCTCAGCAGGTGTGGTGCCACCGAGCTACATCCCCAGCCCGTATCATTACCTTTTAAAGAAAGCCTGCTTTTACCTTTCAAGTATTTTTTTTTTCACTGTGGCAGTTGCAAACTCTGCCAAGAAATCCCCCCCAAATATACGCAATTCCCCACAGCAGCTTCTAGCTCTGTCCTGGCTCATGCTTTGTGATGGGAGCTACAGCTGAAATTTTGAATGTTGGAAGGAATGCAAGGAAGACTGGTCTGGCCTTCCTTAAAAGACAGCACCCACTGTAACATGATCACCCTGCCAACGTGCCAAACTAGCTTCTTTGGGTGGGCAGAAGCCACAAGAAAGAGTAGCCTTCAAGATTTCATAGGTAGTCTTCTTTACTTGCAAAATTCTTTCTTCCCTTTCTAACAGTTAAGCTGATTTAAGTAAATACAAGAATAAATAGGAGGGGGGCAGCTGGAGACATTAATATGAATAGCTTCAATAATTTACATTATTCATTAGTTCACGTCATTTCTGCTTAAATCCTACCAGAAGCCTAAACTTTGGCAAGAAAGGTGAGCAAGTCTAGAAGCATGAATTAGAGCCCCACAAACAAGACTTACTGTTAACAGCCAGCAGCAAAACACGTTAAAATAGCCTGATAACTTGGGTCTTTTGGAAGCCTGTGTTCAAAGGGCAGGTGGAACAACTTGGCAGCTTACCACTGAGGAAAGCCAGGTTTAGTTTGCCTGCAGGGTCCCACAACGCTTCATATTGCTGTTTCCCTACCTGAATAGATAATAGTTTAGAATGTACCTAGTAAGAGGTACAGGAACTCAACAGTACTGGATTGCAATCTTCATGACGTAGTCTTCTCCTAAACAAAGGAAATCCAAATGGGTCTTTGGGGGCCCCCGGGGAAACCTTCACAGATGTAGTAACCGGATGGCCCACGTCTAACCAACATTTAAGGGTCCCAAAATAGTGAAGGAAGGCCCAGGGGATGGCGAAGCAATCAACAACCTTACTCTCATGGGCTCCCAATTTCATCACCAGCCAGAACGGAGGTGGGAAATAAGCTCGGTAAAATAAACTCAAGAAAGAAGGAAGAAAAGACACACTAGACCACAGCAGCTGTGAAAACTCTTTCATTAACACGGGGTGATGGATGCCCAACCCATTATGGCCCCAGTCCAAAGAGCGCTCAGCTCCGCCGCTCAGCCGGTGATGCGCACGTCAGCGCGGCGCCGGAGCCGCCGTGCCCGCGTTTCCTCGGGCAGGATGGCCAGTAGCTGCTCCTGTACCAGCATCTCCACCATCTGCTCCTTGGTGCGGATGTCTGGCCGCAGCCACTGGCGGGAGAGCTCTCGCAGCTGCCGGAACGCTTCCCGGGGGCCGGCCGCGTCCTGGTAGCGAAACTGGCGGAAACGCTGGCGGAACGTCTCGGGGCCTGGCCGCGAGCTGCTTGGGCCTGCCGCGGAGCGCGAGGAGGCTGAGGCCTGAGGCGCAGAGCCCAGGGGTGCGGGCCTGAGAGGCAGCTCTAGCACTGCAGAAGCTGCCGCGGAGGGCGTAATATTCGCTTCGGGGACCTCGGGGTTGGAGATGCAAGATTCAGGGGCAGGCGGGGCGGCCTCTGGCATCGAGGAGTCTGCAGAGTTAGGCTCAGGGTCTGAGTTCGGGCCGCCTCCGTCCTGCTGCTCCGGCGGTACCACAGCGGGGCTCCCGCTGGTCGCCAAACTCAGCTCCGTCGCCGCCATGACTCCGGCTCCGGGCGTCACTCTTTGTCCGGCAACTAAGGGCCCAGTACCGCGTCTGCACGGAAGCGGGATAAGGAGTGATACGTTTCTCACTGATGTACGGAGCCAGTGTAGCCCGTGCGGGAAGTAGATTTGGAACCGAACGAAGGCGCGCCGAGCTTACCTACACCAAGGGAGCGCCCTGGACGATCGGAAGTGGGAGTCTCCGCTGGCTTCTCTATGATCAGGTCGGAGCACGAGTTCCCTTCGGCTTCCGGAAGCGGCACCTCCTAGTGGTCGCCAGTCTCATCAGGCGCTGACAGCGACCGAAGTGCGACAGGCCGGTCTCCGTGTGCAGTGGTACTTTCTCAGCGATGGCGCCTCAGGGCTCTGTGAGGAGGCGGGGTCAGAGTCCAGGTCTGAGTCTGAATTGGAGCTGCAGCCGGAAGAGTTGAAAGAGGAATTTGGGGTTGACCAGGTAGACCTTAAGTCCTGGGAACTCAACTGAATGACCAGCCCTTCGGTAAATACGGAGGATGATGGCTGTACAGGGGCTCATCAGGGCTGGCTGGTGCCCTGGGACAGCGGCTGAGCTCTGGGAGAGAACCCGGTTTAAGAAAGTCCTCTAACTTCCATTAGGTTTTATAGTTTTACTCCACTTTAACCCCGCCCCACCTCGTGGCATTGCTCTATAAATATCCCTTGAGAAATAGAGTCCCTGGCAAACCACATTCCGGTCGCCCTTCTGTCTGTCTTAGAAGCTTTCTTTCTCTCAATAAATATTCCTACCCCCGCCCCCCAAAAAAAGAAGAAGAAAAGTTCTTAGCCGGGCGTGGTGGTGCACGTCTGTTAGTCTCAGCACTTATGATTGCCACGGAGGCCAGCCTGAACCACATAAAGAGACCCTCTCTCCTCTGTGGCCCTACCACCCCGAACGTGCCTGATCTCAGAAGCTAAGCAGGGTTGGGCGTGGTTAGTACTCGAATAGGGTTCTCTTCAAAAGTTCGCTTGCTTGGTCAAACATTGAAGAGACAGAATGTGTAAGGTTCTCAACACGCTGCCTAACACAAAGTAAATGCTCAAGGGCTCTTTGTCATTATTATTATTATTATTATTATTATTATTATTATTATTATTTTAATTTTGTTTGGGGGTTTGAACTCGGTACCTTGTGCTTGTAGGGTTAGGGTTAGGTACTACTGACCTAAATCCCCAGTCCTTTGCCATTATTTTTTGAGTGTCCTTGGAAACCAAGAGACGGGCTCTTTGGGTTCCACTTTTTACCTTAGTTAGGATTAGTAAATGGACTGTAAATGCGTTGTTCCATATGGTGGCTACTGGCCAATTATGAACCCTTGAAATGTAGCTAGTCTGAATTGAGAAATGCACTGTAATAGGGAGAAAGGAAGGAAGGGACAAGAAAAAAAGTGAAAATAGGTCAGGGATTTAGCTCAGTGGCTGCTGTGGCCAGCCTCGCCAGCACAGGGTCCCAGGTTCAGTTCCCGGTACCAAGAAAAAAAAATTAATTAAATTTTCCTAAAATGTACCAATAAACTTATCAGCACTCGGGAGGCTGAGGCAGGAGGATTTCTGTGAGTTCAAGACCAGCCTGGTCTACTTAGTGAGTTCCAGGTCAGTCTCAACTACATAGTGAGTCCCTGTCTCAAAACATCAAAAACAAACAAACAAACAAACAAACAAAAAGTAAAAACTGGAAACAAAGCTTTGTACATAGGGAAGGGAGGGGGCTTGAGGGGAAAATGGGATACAATAAAATAAAGTTTATTAATGAAAAGAAAAATGTACTGTAATAAAATATACACAAAATCCTAGTGCAAAAGGAATAGTGTAAACTAGCTCAAAATTTTTATATTGATTATACGTTACAGTATTATCTATCTAGATAGATACATACGTATAGATACATGTATTTTTTTGTACTGGGGATTGAACTCAGGACTTTGTTCTTGCAGGACAGGCACAGTGCTGCTGAGCTAAATCCCTGTCCCTGAGTATGTTTTGCATGTACTGAGGCAAATACATTTATTTTAATTTCACATCTT